GATTTCTTTGGGCTGGCAGAATTGCTCAAACGCTGGAAACAGCCTCCTGCAAATTGGAAAAATGTCCAATACAGGCTGATGAAGATCAAAGCACTGTGTGTACCAGTGCTTCTCACTACAATCCATGCATTTGCTCCAGGAAGTTCATGGGAAAATGTAATTATGAAAAAAGAGAATATAAAAAGAGAGTAGACATTGAGGAACCAATGTGCTCTTTGAAAGGAGATCAGAATGTCTTTCTGCTTGACCAGGCACATACTAGTAGACATTTTTGAGGAAAAATAGTAAAAGTAGGCTGAAAATAATCAAGAGAGTTTAACTGGTAGTCACTCAAATAGTTAAAAAAAAATACAAAAATAATTGACGATTTTAAAAAATACAGTGAGAAAACAGAGATAACAATATTTATATTTGCAATGTAGTACTTCTTGCAAGCACTGGTACTTTTGAAAGGGCTAATTCATATCCAAACAAGAGAGGTTTCTAACATTACCTGGATAATTTGTTGAGCAGCACAGTAAAATTGAAGTGTTATGTGTACTCAGGTGTCAAATGATCAATATCTGTTGCTCTGATGTTAAGAAGAACATTTGGCAAGCTAGGGGTTGTCACACATCCATAGAGTACAAAACAGCTTAAAATTCAAGGTCAAAGAAAACCATTTACGTTAAGTTTGACCATACATGAAATATTTGTTGCACATTCTTTCTCTATCTACTTAAATTGATTTAACTTTTTCTTAAGCTGTTCAGTAATTTAATTAACTGGATAAAAGACCCATCCCACTCGAAATTCCAGTTTCTTTTGTCATTAGTTAATTGCTTTAGTTCTCGTGAGTTCTATTGTCCCATTCTACAGCAGCATTTTGTGTACAGTACAACTACTCTTTGTAGGGCTGCTCTCTATTCAACAGACAAGGCAAACAAAAGGAAATAAACCCTATAGACAGATCAGAAAAAATGTTTTCAGCAGACCAGATTGATAAAACTACTGTGGAACTTGGGAAACAGCAATGAATAGATTTTAGAAGGACTGTGTGGCCTTTTCTCTCAGTCCTTTGTTGCTGTATACCTGCAGTTTTCTAAAGGTGAATTTCTATTGAGAAGTTTCTCCTAAACAACGTGGTGTTGTGTTTTAACTCAGGAATCTTAATTAAAGAAAACTATTTGAATTCCTTAATTCCAGACATTCTCATGTACTGTATATAATTGTGTTTTTAAGAGTCAGATTCAACACACAATATATGATACACAAAGAAACATTATCTTCTGTATTTCTTATCTATTTAGAAATCAATAGCCCTTATACATACACACACAGACTTAATCATTAGTAAAAAGAAACAAGACAGTGGCATGTCCTTTGTTGTCGTTTTTTAAGATTGCTTGAAATGGCAGAAAATAAGTGAAAATTCACTGTACTATATAAACATAGAACTGTTCAATATGTGTACCTCAGAGTAGAAACTATTTACTCCAGCAAGCTTGTACTATGACACGGATGTCATGCAAGTTCTCCACACCAAACCAATTTTCAGACATATACTATAAATATTTTTTTTTAAATATACAGTGGAAAAAAATGGAAAGAACCAATGTAAAGGTGAGTGTCTGAACGGATGTCAGAGTGGATGTACCTTTATTTATAATTAAGTTGTTTAATTTACAGTTTTTAAATGAAGCGTGGCGAATTTCCAATGAAATTCTTATGTAATCTGAAAAAATAGGAAGTCAATGAATTATGTCACCTCCCGTTACTGTTTCCGGTAAAGGAAAATGTTTTGTTAAGGCATCAGAATAAAAACATGTGTACTGTACACTGTCTTATAGGAAAAAATAAACCTATAGGATTTAAGGTTTTTAGTGCACCATACTATGATGGTGCAGTACAAGTGGAGAATTACAAGCAGGTCAATACTGTACTTCGTTGAACGGTTCTTAATACAGATGTGGACAGAACAGTTTGAAATTATGGGAAGAGCACTGCATATACAAGCTACTTTGTTTAAGCCGGACAGCTCATTCAGAAACAGCTGTAACAACAGCTAATCAGAATCAGGCCGCATGAAAGACAAATCGTGGGATAACGCAGGTAGTTGAAATAAACCATCCGGAGCGCCCATATTGCGAAAATGATGGTTAAACCTGCAATCAAGGTGAGAGGGGATGCAGCTACTATTCATTCTCTTGTTTAATGAGAAGGGGAAAGAATGTTTCATATCTTGGCAGAGGACACCTTTGGAAGCCTGCACTACATTACAGAAAGCGCAGGAAATGTCCATGTCCAATCACACAGGGCGAAGTCATAATTTCCCATAAAACTGTTCAGAAGCTGTGCAGGTGATGTAATGTCTGCCTTAGATAAAGCCAACGTCACCTTCGGAAATTGTACTCATACTTCACCTTGTTTCTGGACCAACAATAACAAAGCCTGTTTCCTATTACCAGAATCACTCAGGTTATTAGCATTGTTTCCTGGGACACTGTGGCCAAGGATGGCAGCATTAAGCTTACTGATATAAATTATTAAGGTCACAAGAACAGCTACTTCCAAAGCCAAGCCAAATATGACACAACCTCCTGGCTCTATCTGTAGGTCTTTATCTGAGCAATCCAAACAAGCTAAGGAACACAAATAATATGGGAATGGGAATGGGAATTTAGACATCAGTATTGGACTTAAATGTTTTCAAAGGCACTTCATGAACCCTTCACTGAGGTGCTGATCATAAGAACTGTTTCATTTTTAGAACATTAACATTTAATAGGTGGATTTGAAGGCGAAATGGTTCAGTTTGTTTTTATGTACCTTTTATGTAAAGTTTTTTAGGTGGTGAAAGGGAATACCATCCTGGTGTTACAAAACTGTATTCTCTATTACTAATGTCAGCTTTATAGCATGTGGAAGCAAATTTTCACTAAATTTTTACTACTTACCAAAATTAATCAAAGTCTTACCAACATATTATTTTACAACTGCAAATCTGAATAAAACAAAATTAAAAAAAAAAAATTCAGGAGCCTGAAGCTGTAAAAAAAAAACCTAAAGTACATTTAATTATACACCTTTATAGAGACCCATTTACCTCAAATGAAAACTCAGATCTGCATTACCTTTTTATCCTGGACACATTTGAAGCAGATAGAAGAAGCCACATGAAAGTAACAAAAAATAAAAGCAAAGACTTAGACAGTCCTTTACAAAGTAGATGATAGATAATCTTGCTGTTGGTCTTTTTTGCAGTTTATTAACAATACCTCACATAGAGAATCTAATGCAATGGGTCTAGTGCATTAAGGCGTTGTTAAACCTAATTGAGAATAACCATAAGACATCATATACCCAACAGAAACACATCCAGGTAGACATTAATACACCTTTTTGTGATTCTTTTTTTGCTATGGTGATACATCGGTTTATTTTATAGTTCCCTAACACAAAATCAGCTATTGTGAGAGAAATGTTCACTTGGACTTTATTTCTCTAAGTGAAGAGTGCCATGTTTCACTCTGACAACACTAGCATAAAATAATTTGACATGCAGATCCATACCATTATTCATTATGGAGACACTGTACAATATAACAATTTAAATTACATAGCAATCTGTGACCACAAGGGAAGTTCTTTTGGACATAATCACTTGGTCTTACCATTCTGCATGCAATGCCACAGAGCCATTCTTCATAATTCATCTTTTCCTTTGCAATTTGTTTTAACTTGAATGTACCCAAGATCATCCACCCCTGTTCTAACCTCTAAATCCAAAACAGGGTCACAGGGAAGCCGGATCTTATCCTGGCAAGCGATGGGTGCAAGGCAGGATAGCCTCTGGAAGGGACACCAGTCCATCGCAACAAGATCATTTGAAGAATTTCAAATCGACTTAAATGTTAAGCTGCAGTATACTGTACATGTGTATAGATTTTGTGCTGGTGTGCATACTTCATTGTATTAAAATTAGAAAATTGTTTTGGCTAGTATTTTGATTTTCCTTTTATTTATATTAATTGCTTGCACATGGCTGACATAATTTAATTAAGTCTTTAGATGGAATGAAAAAAAAAGACTACTTTCCTGGTTCACAATTGAAGACAACAGAAATGGACCTTTGATTCACATGAGATTTTTTCCAAAATTGTATTTCTAGGGTGTTCATTTTCCTTCAGTAAAAAAAGAACTCTTGGTTTTGTGTAGCATGTATAGATGTGTTGGAGTAAAAATTCTAAATAAAAATTGTGTTTCTTACACCTATGGTCACAGGTGATGTATGTCTTTCCAAATATTTGACAGCTAATGATTATATCACAAGAGGAAATAAAGGCAAAAGAGGAAATGTGATTTGTATTTTCTGTTTTTGTTCTGTAAAGTTTGACTTTGTTGTCTCCATCTCTTAGGTGAACCTTATCTTGTATGATTATAAGTGCCTGGCCTGCGTACCAAGAGTGCAAAGTTTATTCACGGTGGATGATCTCATCGCCCAGGAATCTCATCAGGGTTTCAGACATCTAGGCTCTAGCCGTGATCAAAGGCATCTGAATAAACTCCAACAGTCTGACACAAAAACCTTACAAGAAGAATTCTGGGCCATTTAGATACAGTAGGTACAGTCAGGTTTTGCAGCCAGTATGACAAATTTAATGTTTCAGCTTCAGAGTGCGGTTTAAGTGTAATAATGAGGGTATTGCATTTTGAATTACTAAGAATGTATTATTTGATTAAAGTTGCCTTTTCTCCAGAATAAAGCACTGTATTGGTGCCCTATGATGCTCACATTTTACGTGTATTATAAGTACTGTAATGTTAGAAAACATTAAAGTTTAGGCCAGAAATGTAACACGTCAAAATTGCGAACACCATATTGTCAATAAATGTACAGAGACCATATTAATTTTACAGTATGAACCTTAATACTACTGTCTGTGTTTTTTAAATACAAGTTGAAATGCTGTGCATTTTGACCTCAGTAAAAAGCAGTCACAAAAGAGAGAGCACATTAGTTTATAAAGAATTGTATCCATTTATTTATACTTACAGCTTTAAATATCATAAATAAAGCTAAACAGTTTTTTTTGACTGTGCAAAATACAGTATTGCAAGTGATTTTGTTTTATAAATACAACTTTAAATTTACAAAACATCTCTCTATGGTGAATTTGTAAAATATGTAAAACTGAAATCCTGTGAATAATATTAACCGCAATTTTAGGAAGAATAAGACAGATTCTTGAGTGGCTTTCTGAAAGAGAAGCTCATTCTGCAACAGAAAATAAAATAGGGGTATATAGAGAGACTTTGAGGCCTGGGTGTTCATTTCAAAACAGATGAGGCAAAGCAGAAAACTTTGAAACATGCAGAGTTTCAACACTGAAAATGATATAATTAAAAGCCAATGGCACAGCATTTCTGTTAGTAAGCTTAGCTCTAACTCAATAATCAAGAAGCACAATAAAAAAATCAAAATGCAGCAGTATTAGTATCACATCCTTCTGACTTGTGGTGCTAAACCACTGAAGTTGTAGTGTTCGGTACACTTTGTTCTTTTAGTTTTATTTTTGTTTATAAAACTAACATAATATAATTTGTTTAGTAGCCTTAAGTGCACAGCAAAGTTAGAAACTTGCAGCAGAAAAAAAGAATGCTTTAATACACAAGACCCATGCAATTTTCTCCACAAGGTTAATATGCTGTTAAAAGCACTCGAAACACTGATAGCAGTTATTGCAAAAGATATGTGACCAATGTTGGCCATTCACCTTGTTACTTGTTTTTCAGCCAATGAGAGGTTGCAGTGCTGGAAACTTGAAACAGACTACAAGCAAATTGTAAAAAAGGGAATAAAATAATGGAAGGATTGAAAAGAGAAAAAGAGAAAAATGAAAGCTTAGTGTGGTTAAAGCAGATAAGTTACACTGGCAAATCAAGGAAAGTAAGAGAATCTACATCAGAAAGATTCAATTGAGAAAAAATACAAAACACATACAAACCCTACTGTTTTTTTGCACAAGAGCAAATGTGATTGCAGATTGAAACAACAATTTGCAGATGATATACACAGGTGTTTCCTTGCTGTGTTTTTATAACAAATTTTAGCTAAGACAAACTGAAGGTACAATACAGAAGGTAAATCTAGGAAATACCTATAAATCATTTCCAATGCTTTCCTTCAACTAAAAACAAAAACCTGCTTAACAGTATGTATGAACATACTTGACTGTTGACAAACATTTAAACCTTCCTACTACAGCACTAAAATAAAAACTAACACAAAGAAAAAAAACTAGCACTATTTATACAGAAAGCTTTATAATGAATGCACTGAGAATATTTCAATACAATTTGGTTAGCAACAGCGGGAAACAGATCAATAAAAAGTAAAATGAAAATCTTAATTACAACTTTTAAATTTCTTCCAGTGTAGAGATGTTTGTATCCAAAGCATTTGGTACAATTCTTTGGTGAAAACCCTGGTATAAAAACTTTAAACACACACCTGCTCCCATGAATTGCAAGAAGTAAGAATCTGGATTTGCAACTCCCAATTGACGTGGAGCTATTTATAGAAACATGATTTTCAAAATACTGGAATGATCCTTAGATGTGACTGGTTGTATTCAATATGTATATCTGATTTTGGTCCTTTGAAGAAATCTGACTTCTTATTAAATTACATTGGGGTATATGAATAAAATAAGATCAGTCAGCCTTCAATGGATGTGAGGAGTGAAATAATTTAATTAATTCTCTCCACACAACTGCACACTGTTTTCTAAGAAGTGATGCAATCTACCTAAAACACTACAGTTTCAGTGCTTCTGTTGACATGAATATTAAAAAAGTGAAACACACAAAAGAACTGATATTAAATAAAAAATTAGGTGCTACCAGCTCTAAAGAAGTACAAAGAAATGTCCATATTATTTTGTTTGCATGTACAGTTCAATATTTATTTTGTTTACAAAAACCCTGATATCCTTACATTATGTCTTTCAAAGTTATTAGCACATATGCTTATTTAGGAAATGATTTGGTTAGAAAAATTTTAAAAATGAGGTGGAATTACAGAAAAGCATTACAACCTATTGCTGCCTGCGCAGTTATGAATGCCAAAGAGGGTTTATCACATCCTGCTCTCTGGATATATACTCCACACGCTGGTCAAAGTTCGGTTTGCAGCTGCCTATATAAGCATCGAACTGCCTGATACAAAATATGTCTAACTAAAAAGACAGCATTTGTTTTCTATTCTTTTCACCGCCAATATGTCAAAAAACATGGGAATGGAATTCTTTGAAAAATGCTTAGAAAAGCAGCAGCCAGTACAAATAATTCTGGCATTTGAACTTAAACATAATTAGCAAAGGAAAACCTCCAGAGGGGAGCTGAACAATTTGGAACATTCCTGTCTGATACATTTGATAAAAATCTTAATTTCTCTGTTTTTGTGCTTGTTTTATTTCTCTTTTTTTATCAACAGTAATTTAGAAAACTATCCACACGAAACTCGTTTTTGTTAGGTAAAGCTATAGAAATAGAGATGTTGCAGGAAGTTTTCAAGTCTAAAACTATCACTGTCATTTGCATAACAAGAAACAATTGAAACATTTGTGAATAAAAAAAGTTGGAATTTAAACCTCCTGTATATCCAGTGTTGCTGTAAAGGCAACTTAAACATAAAAATGTAAACCAGACCAAAATGAGTGTATTCAGGCCTTTTTAGCACTCTGTTCTTCAGAATGTAAAGCTGAACAATAAACATTATTCTATATCTTACATGTTGGTATTAACAAATAATGTAATAAAATGTAAACCATGGTAAATGTGAGTGTAAACTACAAAAAGTATCAAAAGAACCTAAATCAATAGCAATATAAATTCAATAAAAAATTGGAGAGCATTGTGCATGTTATTTAAAATTGAAAATCCTCAATTTTAAAATCAATTGTCACAATATTGTCAATACTAAAACAACTGTCAATATTAAAAAAACAAATGTGCTACAAAAAATGCACTGTTTTGTTCACCAATGGTATTTAAAATCTGTTGATGGCAGCATTATGGAGAACAAAAAGATGTAAACTTTTGTTTCATTTTTAAAAAGAGATTCTGAGAATGGCTTTTATAGGCTTTTTGGCATTTTCCTTGGAAATGGATAAGAATGCATTACACATTGCACAAAAAGGTTTCTAATGTTTAGTAAACTGTGTGCGTAATGGCCGAATTCACAAAGATTTACTGCATATTTTAACCCTCGATATTAAGAAAAAGCTCTTCCATTCCCATTTAAATAAAAGAATGGGACAGTGCCTAAAATTAAAGTGCATTCAGTAAATCCTTTTTACTTTTTAAAAGATTTTTAGACTATTGTAACCTGAGCAAAGCATTGAAAAACGGAAGACACCCTTAGTTTGTTAAAACCTATTAATTTGATTGCTAAGCTCTATTACAGTAACACCAGGGGTAGCACTACTGTATATTTGAATGCATTCTTAAATGTAGCCCACACAACTTCACAGAGGCTATGTAACCATGCTGTAATAACACTCATAAAAAGACATATTGCATATTTTAAACCTTAACCCCAATTCAAACCCTAACCATAACAAAAGTGTTGATTGTGCAAGCAATTTTCTGCAACAAATGCTATGCATTATGATTACTTTTTTCTTAATTATGAATTTTGGAATAGCATTGATAAACAATTCTGAATGTTATTACAGCTTTATAATTCTCTGAAGGTGTTATTGTTGGCTAAGACTGCATTCAAATAAAGAGAAGACCAAATCAGGTGACCCTGTTTGAACTGGACACCCACAACATTTATGAGATTTTCAAAAATGATATGGATCACTGTCTGACTATGCATGTTACCTGTTGCAATCCGTTTAGCTTTTCATCATAAACTATTTATTGGGTTTACATCTTGGTTTTCAATTGGATTTGTAATTTACTAGTTTGAAATGCTGAAGGATAAAATTGTTTCTTAAACACATCCAATAACTGCAATAAAAGTGCCTAAGATTAGGTATAAGAGGCGCATACAAATGTCAGGCCAAGATTAAATCAAAATTTACATACTTATTGAAAATTACAATCCAACTGCATTTTGTTTGCCTGGGATATACTGCTTCTTCTAAATGGAAATACATCAAGTTTTTTTTAACTTCAAGAATGGGGGTATTGGGTGGATCAAAGCTAAGATTTAGTCTTTTTGGCAGGTAATCAATGCACATCATCAGAGAAGGCCATGTCATTTTCATGAAACAGTGATGAATGCTACAATGTCCAATTCAAACCAAGCATCACCCAATACTGAATGGCACATTTGGTACTCAGTGGCACTTTAGTTAAGCTTCACACCTAATTGCATCTCCACCCATTCAAGCACATATTCAAGTGTTGGAGGTGCGGCTTCCATGAACATGTGCCCCAGTATCTCATGGAGCATGCAGAGAAGAGGCACACCTAGGCTTAACAGCTCATACAAGTAGGTATAATCATTGGCATTGTCCCTGAAATGGAGGCCAGTGGCGTGCACTGCACCATGCATCCAGCGAGACAGGCGTCTGGGGATATCAAACACATCCCGGGTCACACGCAGCGGCCAGCTTATGGTTTTCCTAAGGAAGGAAGTCATGGTACCTGGGGGCCGGCTCTCCAGGCTTCCCATGGCCGAGTAAGTGCTTGCTGCTTCCTGGGCAGACGTTCCAGAGTCCTCCTGCTTCACAACCTCCTTCTCATCCTAAAAAGCAAACACCCACAGAATGCAAATCAGCAGGGTCGTTCCCGATGGTGGGATGCGGCACCATGGCTGACAATCTATTTTCCACGGGGTCTGTCGTTTTCTTCCTCTGTGGAAGTCTTCATGTCATTTCCCAGCACTCATCATGCTAACACCCCTCCACCAGCCCCAGTGTTCACTGTTTAAAGTCATGGAAGGGCCTCCTGAGTGCCTGAAAGCAGACTGAGCTCTTTGTTCCAGACATTGCGGGGTCACTAGCTGACTGTGACTGGAAATTGGATTTCCCAAACATTGATGCACAATTAGCTTAGCGCCGCTGAGGGATGGATTGGAATTAGTCGGATTTCAGTGACACAGAAAACCCTGAGTTCTCCTGGGCACTTCCAGGAATGCAGGGCTACTGGTCAGGAACGACTCGCTCCTCTAATTAATGCTGAACCTGAATCAGTGCAGGGCTGTACTGACAGATGTGTTAAAAGACGAGTGGATCGAAGGAGTATGCCTTTGTATTCTGAGGCAGGGTTTACAGCCGTGCACCAAGACACAATAAAAGCACAACTGGCAATTTTCAAATCGGATGGATAAAAAAAACAATTGTCTATTGCAGTCCAGCGATTTTCACATTAGTAAGTAAAGACATACAGAACCTCAACACTTCTACATATTTTAATATGACCCACATTATCCACCAATAAAGTCCAGCACCTTCACTCCATAGCAGAACAGGGGAGGAGAGAGAAATCACTTTGCCAGTTGAATTGAGAGAGAATTTAAGGGAGGCCAGATTGTGCAGGCCCAGTGTGGACACCTGGGTAACATTCCCTATCGCTTTAAAAAAAGCCACATTATCAATTAATGACTGAGTAGTCAGAGCATCAGTCTAACATCTCAGTTAAAGGACACCATCTCTACAAGATACTCAATACACTTTTCTTGCTGTGTGAATATTCCATATTTAAAAACAGAAACATACCTTTTAAAGCATTGTATTGAAAATAATGCTGAGATCATTGTTTGGCCATATACCACTTTTAAGCAAAGAAAATATTTTTACTTTGCTTACCTTTTCTAGATCTACACGCCTCTTCCTGTGCTTGACACTGGTCTTGCGTTGAGTGAAATGAGGCTTGCAGTAAAATTTACCTACCAATATAGTAAACACACCCATTAGATTTTATGGAGAAACAACCATAGTGAGCTTTATTTTTCAGGAAATAAGAAAAACATATTCTACAGTTTAATGAAAGCCTGATTAACTCTACTTCAACAAAACCAGGTACCTTTTTGCTGAAAAAAAAACTGCTGTAGGAGAAAGAGATGTCAAAACATGGGTGATTTCATATTTCAGGCAACAGACCTCCAATCGTTTATGGCAGCCATTCTGAAAATACTACATCTGATGCAATAGCAAAACATATTTTGCAGCCCATGACAAAAATCCACAAAAAGACAAACTGCTAGCAGTCTCAGGCTCTTTAAGATGTGAGTTTGAACATTTGTCCTTATTTTCCAGTGTTCATCAAGTTAACACCTCTCCATTAATCCCAACCTCCAACACATTAACCCTTGGGTTTATCATAGGGGTCATCATCTCACTTCCTTGCCATTATGGCCAAACAATTATCCCTTAAACCAGAAGGGTTAAAAGCAAATATATTATCAAATGACACTACTGGTTATTGTTTCAAATACCTATTGTGGTTTCTATCTTTGTTCTGCTTTTTATTAAAACAATGTAGGGTACAAGAGTTTCTGGATGTTAGAAAATATTTCCAAGGTTTAGTTTACCAGCTGATGAGTTTCACCCGCCACAGAGCATTGCAAAGGAAAAGATTCCCAATAGATTAAGTAAACATCTAATCCTTGTCCTTTCCCAGCCACGGTCCTACCTTCATCCACATCAAAGGCATAAGCACCCAGGCGCAAGGTGGTGTTGCAGACGTCACACCTGAAGCACTCTCTGTGGAAGAACCTGCCCTCTGTGCTGAGGCGTTCCATCACGTAAACCCTCTTCTTACAGAAGTGGCACGTGTCGCTGCCCCCGAGGTTCTGTGGGAACTCCTTGCGCATCGACCCCTGGGAGCAGAAAAACAAATGGTGAACATCTACTTCAACAAGGCTTCGCAGATGTGCGGAAAATGCGAGGATGATACACAACTGAATAAAATACCGCCTTTAGATAGAAGGCCCTTGGAAGACCTGTTCAAAGTTTTTCAAAGTGCTTTCCCCCCCCCCCCACTCCCCGAGAACTCTAACTCGTAATACTGAAGAAGAAAACAGTTTCCAGGAGCATCTGCAGAGTTGCCTAGAGGCACATCCAGAGTGGCATGGAAGATTCTAGCACGCTGGGACCTGGCTCAATGGGATGGGCAACAGGAACATGCCAATGTCTGTCGTGGGAACCACAGCTGCCACTGTTTGTAAATCCAATACTACTCGTGAAGATGGACATGTTGTAGAATAAAAATGTGAAAAGCCTTGAAAGGAATTCTTGAAACCACTCCTACCTGATTAATAAATGACCAATAACCATTATTAAATAATATCTCATTTTTAATTTAAAATAGTGCATTATAGATGTGGAGAAGACCCCTCACTGTAGATAAAAAAAACTTGCACAAGTCCTGCATGTACACACTGTATACAATGAAAAATAACTTCATTCTAAACACAAAAGGTGAATTGCCTTAGAGTTTGTGCAAAAAACAATGGAAAAACAAAATGGAAACAATGCATTTGCTTCCATTATTAAACTAATTGATACAATAAGCTATATTTCAGTGAATAACTGAATTGTAAAGGTAATTTACTCTAAAATACAGAACAGGCATGTGGGAAAAGATGATATGATAGGCTATAGGATTAACAATGTACGAAATCGCTTTTATCACCCCCATAAGTGTAATGGTATGTTACCATTAGTACTCATTTCACCTGTCAGAACGAAAAAACACAGTGAAGCAGAGCACTGTTCAGGAAACTGGATTTCTAACCCAGCGGACTGAGGAGGAGCAGGTGAAAGATGAGTCTAGACTTGAGGACCAGGTACTAGGACAGGATTCATTAATGAAATATTAACCAATTGGTCGGGCTGCTGTTACCTCTCGATTTAACAAAGCAGCAGCAGGAGCTTGGTGTTGTCAAAAATATACAGTAGCTTTGAGAAGAAATGGGTTTAAACCAAAACAGTTTCATAAAAGGCAATTCAGTGGTATCCTTCACCTACTACTCTGTCCATTCCACCTAAACAACAATCTAAACCCTCCTGATACAACGGAGTGTTCAGAGTTAAGAGAAAGCTAATGTACTACACTTACAAATATCCCAGTAAAGACCAGGAGGTTACAAGACAGCATTAACATGGAATTTCCTCCCTCATTATGGAGTTCTGCAGCGCCCTGGGTCCACAAGCCTCTAATTATGGAGTGAACTAGATATTCAAGATTTTGTTTCTGTATTTTGCACTTTACTCAGACAAATCCTCCTGCGAATGCTGACAAAGGCCATCTATAAGATGACACTGTATTCAATGAAGCTCATGCCTCAGGACTGAAAAGTGAATTTCCCAACAGGGACAACTATACCACAATATCAGCTGATGTTGACAGGTTGCAAGATGCACATAGAATTATGCAGTTTTCACATGAGTGCTAAATATTTCCAATTCCTCATGGTAAGCAGAGGTAACACTCTTGGGCAGTTTTGAGTATAAAAAAAGCCCTTCATTACTACTAATGTTTTTTAACTTAATCAATTTCAGCATTTATCAGAAAACATCCTTAATACCCCAAATGAAATCATTTTTAGAAGCCACAGTATGTCAGCCACTAGCTTCCAATACCTGCATTTAGGTGTAAAAATTATCTGAAAACACAGAAGCAAATTTATACATCATTTGAAACACTGTGTCCAACAGGAACTAAAGAAAGGGAACCCATACGTTCCCCAGACGTTAATGTACACAGACATTTAAATGATTCACAAGTCTGATAAAAATCTTTTGCAAACCCGTACTCTGTTTTTTTATTTTATATGAAAAATAACTTAAAACTAATCAACTGATCCGGGCAAATACGAATCAAATACTGTAAGGACTTGAGCCTTAAAACACGAATGACTTGGCTGGGTTTTCTCAATTCCAGAATAACCCCAGGTTTGAGAAAGCTACTGTACTTTCTGTGAAAACTGTACGTTTTGCTTACCAGCACAGGAGATGTGCAACAAGCTTTGGGCCTGTGATCATTCTCATAGAGGGTGACTAGAACTTCAGCCATTGCACCAATGACTGAAGACACTTTTCCAACAGTCATCTGACAGGCGGAGAGGAAGAGAGAGTGACAGAATAAAAGGAAGGAAAGGTTAGAGGCAGAGTGGACATCATCACAAGTGATGGAACAAGTGACAGCCAGAGGTATTAAAGAGGGAAGGATATGAAAACGCATCCAAAGCACAGACACACAGCAGACTTACTGCTTTTGCTCAATAACATCAACAGGTTTGCAATTACATTGTTTCTGCATGCTTTAATTAATTTTCATCCTCTATGCTGTAGAACAAGAACTCCTCATTACAAGGAGAGAATTACAGAGGTGGAGGTTTTTTTTTAGATGTGACCACTCACTGCGATTTAGTTATTTTTCTTTATGAAGTATGTGGTTAAAAAATAAATACAAAAGCAGAAGTTCCGTGTCAAAATAAGAGGAGTTTTTTTAAAAAACATCTGTTCGTGAATGCAAAGAAGCAAAGGAATGTGTTTGCATAATAGTTTTTCAGGACTGTCTGGGTGTTGTAACTCCTAATGTACACTGCTACTCTAGCCTAAATTCTTTCACTGGAGTAGAAGGAGAAACTCAGAGGATACAGCATAAATAAGCAGCTGCTGTTATTCTGAATGGCATTCTGTCAACTGCAACACACTGCACTCAAGAACCTTTGGATTCTAAAATAACCTCTGTACCCTGACATGCTCGGTTTGGAATCTTTTCTCCAAAAAAACAGCTTGGATTACCGTGCTTAACAAAATAATGTGAACAGTTACTTAACATGAACAAAAAAGGGCATTACTTAAAAGCAGGCGTTTAAACTTAAATCCATCTATACCTGTCCTGAAGAACTCAATGTCTGAGTCTGTTTAGACTCGGGCTTTTCGAAAATGGGGTTCTGAAAGATTACACATGAGGTACCATTTCCATTGTTCTACAATTAAAGAAAACATTGTAAGAATTATTTAGCAAAGTCTGTTTTTTCATTAAACTCTCTGCAATGATATCTGATTGTTAAAGAAGAAAATAAGAAACCACTTTTACTGTTAATCTTAAAATGCAGTTTTAAATGAGAGGATAAACATTTTGCAGTTTAAGCACAAACAAAAAGCAACTTGTTTCCAAAAACGTACAAGATGACCAGAGTCACCTCCTACTGTGACAGCAGTTCTGTAATTTAGAAATACTGGTTGACAGCAGCATATTGGTTTCTGGAAGAATGACGTTAAAATAAAAACTCAGTGTGACGTAATGAGGAGTGGTGATCTGGGAAGTTGTGCAGAAGACACTCACCACATTCCTCCTTTTCGGCTGTTCACTGGGCTCACCTGTTCTATATAGCAGCTTATCTAGATCCTGCATTTCATTAATCATTTTTTTAAATTAAATACAGAAAAATGAAAACAGAGAAATAGGGAAGAAATATGAGTACACAGAATGAGTCATAAGAAGGAACAAGAACAGGTTTGCTTCAGCCTGCAGTGATCAAACATACTGTAGCTCTCTATACCTGATAGCCCAGCATGTCAGGTTTTTTGTTATGATTCTTTAAAAAAATCCAGAATGTAGAGTATTATCATTTTCAAAGTTTACCTAGCCAAAATTAATATATCTTATTACATACACAAGAGACCAGACCATGAATCGGGAAATGTATTACATTGGACTTCTAACTGTACTATTATCATGTCATACTGTAGCTCTGAACCAAGGTATATTTAAGTTAATTTTTTATTTTCTTACTAATTAGTTACTTTAGTAAATTCTACACTGAAGTACATATTGTGATAAACACAATCTGCTGTGGAGTACACTGACTGGCCAAAATATTATGATATGCCCTTTTAACATCACACAAACAAAACTACACATTGCGTCTCCTCTTTAAGCATGAAGAACTGTCTGAAGTTACACAACACTTGCAACCTGATCCTGTCCCACCCTTCTAGAAGATCAGCTTCATCTGAGCTTAAGAGGTTCACACTGTGTTGGACCAATGTACTCTCTCCCACTTCCATCAGTTTCTTTGACAGAAACAAGAATCTGGGGATGAAGTTGAGGCTCAGGTAGCAGATGAGAGTCTGTCACATGCTCTTCAAGCCAGCTGCTGTCCATTTGCTCATTTGAACGGGAGTTCCTAATCATTTGGCCAGTGGAGTGTATATCCTGACATGTCTTTGTATATATATCAAGCTAGCTCTCCTCCCCATCATCTGCGGTAAAATTGTAGCCCCTGTCCGGCGAGATGCACACAGCTGCAGCATGTTTAGACAGTACCTGTGGAGGGCGTTGAGAAGATGGAGCTGATGTTTGAGATGAAAAGGGTGAAGCAGCGGAGGATTCTGGGGAAGGAGAGGCCAAAGAGTTTTTTGGCCGGGATGGTAAAAGGCTGGGAGCGGGCAGCGCACTCTGTACAGAGCAGATGCATGTTGGCAATGAATCAGGAATGTTCCATCAATGAAACACAGAGAGGGGAGACAGCAAGTGTGGAAAAGCAGTGTTACAAAGCACAGTCACCGAAAAATGGATGAACAGGCCTGTTGATGAACATAAATGTTAGGAGTGGAAGTGTTGACATATTAGATATGAACAGAAACAATTTACCACGCTCTGAAAGGTCTACGTGGTCTTCATGCAAAGAAATTCACTCTTTGGTGATTGGGGTGAGGGCAAAAACACAGAACTGTAATTCAAATTAGTTTTGTTTTATGAGAAAGAAAGGTCTGCCAAGTACTATATAATGAGTTATTTGGTTCATGCCTATTAGCATTTATGTCCGTTTTTTAAATCAAATTAGTGAACATGCTATGAAAAAGTATTTAATCTCAGCTGTGGAAACTTCGGAGAAAATGTTTCACACTTGGAAACATTCCATATCCCACAATGATGCAACAAACCATTCATAGAACAAGCTGTGATGGTAAGACTGTTTTATATGGCTATGAAAAACTACCCTGAAAAAAATAGTCCAGGGTCAGTCACCATTTATGCTGAACCTATATAATGATCATGAGCACCGGCAATAGCAGAAACAACTGGATTTATTTTATCAGTATTATATATTATTACAGAGATCATTTACTCCTCTACATATTTTCTTTTCATGTTTATCATGGTGATGTGTACTGAACCAGACAATGGGAATATCCCTCATAATTTAATAAATGCCTAAAGCATTCATATGGCCTATAACATTTTTATAGTTCTGGAAATAAGCAATTTAAAATGTCCGTACATCTAAGAAATAGGGAAAGAAAAAGACAAGAACTACCAGTGTTTCTCTTAAGTTTGTACAAATATAAAAAGGAAGAAAAAATAATATTTAATGTAAAGAATATAGTTTTGTGTACAATCTGCTATTTGTTTTTCATTTTAATGCAAGGATACTTTAATGATTTGATTGTTATCCTCCCTGAACTTATGCAATTTCTGATGCTGAAATAAACAGAAACCAGCATTTCTGCTATAAATATATACAGTACATGAACAGTGAAATCATGATAAAAACATGTTTAAGTGCAGAGGTTTAATGAAGTATGAACTTAAATGTGATGAAGTAAAGAAAAATAAATGCATTGCTTGGTTAAATTGTGAAAAAAACTGTGGCTACGCTGCATAGAGTTATTATGGTAAAATCAGAATCTCACGGTGAAGAAACATGCAGAGCACAAGAACACAGGAGAGCCGGAATGCAGGCAGGAGGGCAACAGTCAGTCACCTGAGGTTGAAAAGCCATGTACCCAAACAGAGAACAGAGATGAGCAGCCTTCTCTTTAACGCTTTTTTTGTGAAACTCCCTAGCAGACTGAGACTGAGCTTTCCGCTGAAAGATGGGAATGAAAGGGAAAAGCAAAGGAGAAAGAAAGTCTGAAAGAGGTCAAAGTAAAGTCATAGTTAGAGAAATGTTCTTGTCATCTGAGACCAGTAATGTTTTCTACAAACAGAATTATAAACGTTTTGTGACTCTATTAAAACACTGTATGTAAATGGGACTCATTTACTATACAAAGTCACGTATCTTAATTAATTAAAATTTTCATTGTGGGAACCTAACAATGTTTATGCTACTTCTGAAACATCGCTTATATAAAAGAGAGGAACCTAAATAGGGAGAAGGAAGCAGCTTGTAGTTTCAAGTATGCTTCCCTTAAGCAGTAGGAAGAGAATGTTGAGCCTGCAAGGGGAATAGTGGTGAGGGTCAAGTATGTAGGTGGCTTGCAGCTAGGCAAAACCACAATGCTCCATAAATCTAGAAGTTATTATATTTCACGTTGCGAGTACATGTACCGTGAAGAAACACAAAGAGTATAGGACAAAGGAAAGGAGAAAGAAAAAAGCAGCTTGTCACCTGTTTGACTTTTTCTTCAACCCGCTGAAGGCGCTGAAGCATTCCTGACACAGCTAAGACAGTGGAGCGACAGGAAGCCGAGCAGTCTGTGCTTTCTGCTTCAACAAGTGCTTTATCGGCCTGTTTAGGTTTCCTGGGCAGAGCGTACCCAGTGCTCTGCAATGGCTGCTCTGTCCTTTCGACCACATATTGAATACTCGCTGAAGACTGTAACTAGAAACGCACAGCAAATGTGAATACCTTTTGCTCACAATTGAAAACTGGATCAAAACATCACACTAGCGCAGAGAGACCAATTTGCTTTTTAATTTCAGGCACATTACAGGTTTTAAATGAAAATCTCAACGGTTGTGCATTAACTTTTTGATTTTAACTTCAGACTTATTCTATCTGCATCTGCCAGGGCTACATCAACAGAACCATACCTGCCTCTTCTGTGGAGGAACAGGAGTTTGGTCCATAGGCTTGGCGAAGCGAGGGTTCTCAATCATGTCAAGATAAGGAGGCTTTGGTGGCTTTATTGCACTTGAACCAGACTCAACCTTTTTAATGCAGACACAGTCCAGGAAAGCCCAGAGGGAATGCAAGCAGGATATGACAGTGGAAATTTGAAAGACATAAGGAAAGGGAAGAAAAAGAAATGCACTTGTCAACAGAAGAAGCAAGATATTTTCTACTGTCTTTTTCTCGCATAAGAACAGAGAGGAGCAGGGATGAAACCATCAGGTTGTTGTCTATAATAACCTGAAAAAATAAAATGTGTGTATGTAGCATATTTTAATGCATTTTAGAGATGAAAGTCTTCTGGTACACCTATAAATCTGTCAAATGTCATATCTAGGGCCATGCTATTTAAAAAGCAATGCTAAAAGTGGGATAAAAGTCATGCATACCTGCTGTGTGTACCTGTGTCACAGAGGGTCCTTTATACAGCACACTATCATTTCTTGTAGATATTAAGAACATACTTTAAGCAAACCTTCAGTGATATCTGCACTTAAAATTTATAATTGAACCACATTGAGGCATATTCTTTAAGAAAAACTGGCTGTAAAGTATTTGAAAACAATTCATAGCATAAACAACATGAAACTGTCATTACAGTACCAAATGTTCACTTTGGAAGCAATTGTATATGAGTACTTTCACAAGCTGTTTCTATAAAATGCAATGTTGAATCAAATTATAACACATAAAACAAATCTTATATTTAAATGCTGTCCTCCTATATTTGACTGCAGTGAAGCCTTTTGAGTTTATAGAGAAAAAATACCATCTTGAAAAAGCCATGTAAACCACATTTAAAGCCTTTTAAATGTGTACTGAGAACATAAAATGTATTGCAATATGAAACACTAAATTTATATCTGAATTTGTGACTTCGGTAACTTTTTCTGAAAATTCTTAATTGTTTCTCTTGTGTACATCATTCTTGATTCTTAGCAAAGGAGAGTTTGAAAATATCAAAGACTGTACCGTGAATTATGTCAACGTACTTAAAACACGTACTGTGTTTAAAACAGGATAATATTCATAAGGGATTATCATGTTAGCGAAGCTGCCAAAATTAGATTTACACTTGCTGACTAGTACCCTACTGCTTAAGGGAACTCTTGAGCATCAGCTGTTCACTCCTCAGTTCTTTAGAATGAATGAGATGATTTAGTTTCCTGGCATTAAAGCTGTCATGTAAATTGCATACTGTAATGAAAGGCTCTTTACTACTTGTCTTGCAAAGTTGTGTGATCAACACACCTCCCCTCATTACAACTTTATGAAAGCATTAAAATAAATCACTTGCAAAACAAAGGAAGGAATTTCTGAACCATGTCAACATCTTATGTTCAATACGATTTTTTTTGTGAAGAAGACACATTCCTGTCTTGTTTCAAAAAGACAGTTAATGGCTTGATATGGAGCGGTGCAGTAGCACTGTGGCTAAGGATCTGCGCCTGTGGCTGGAAGGGTGCCGGGTCGTATCCCGCGGCCGGCAGAGGAATCCTACTCTGTTGGGCCCCTGAGCAAGGCCCTTAACCCCAACTGCTCCAGGGGCGCCGTATAAATTGTTGACCCTGCGCTCTGACCCCAAGCTTCTCTCCCTGTTCGTGTGTCTCATGGAGAGCAGGCTGGGGTATGTGGAAAGACAAATTCCTAATGCAAGAAATTGTATATGGCCAATAAAGTGATTTTATCTGATCTTGATACAAACACAGAACAGACAACAGAAAGAGCTGCATCCTGCATTGTTGCTCACCTGTCGACGTAAAGTACAGCTTGGAGCATTTTCTTCAAACTTTGCGATGAGCTGATTAGCCATGGATTTTACTTTGTTCTGATTCCCTCCCACTTTCCCCTCTCCACCCTCGCTCACTGAGCACGGGCTCTGACTGGAAAGGTTTGTCGCCTGTATGAAAAACAAACCACGCTTAGATGGCAACATAACACAGAGGTAGATTAATTTTCTGAAAAAATCTCCATTAGTATTACATTGACATTGTGCCATTTTATTATCCACATATCCAAATTACAATGGACACACACAATGTTTTTAAATATCAAACCTACAAGCAGTGTCATCTATTTAAACCTTCAGACCACAGATGAAAAGTATGGATTAATTTTCCTTAATTCTAGGATGTCCTTACATGCTTCAAACAAACCTCTTCCAAATGATTGCAGCCCCTTCTCCTCCTTTTGCTCGTATAATCACTGTCTTCCAACTTTTTGTCAACCTAAAACAAAGTCAGTAGGAAGACCACCATCAAACAAATGGAATCAATATGTAATAATAAACCACTGCAAGAACATCTTGAAAGCTTTAGCTCAGTCCTTTTCAGTTTGGCCCTGAAGCTAATATGCACACTTGCTATGAAAAACCTGTCCAAGGCTTTGTTACAATTAATTAATCTTTTCCACCTTTTAAAACAAACCATAATCCTGTTTTTTTTGCTAAAGTTAACTTCAGTTAACTTGAAAAGTTGTCTTTACAGAACTGCTTTTGATGGTGCATTTCCTCTTATAGCACCTATATCCCTAAAAACAAAAATAAAAGTACAAAGGTATGGCAGAAAAGTTTGCTGGGTTATAGCAGCTCATATTTTAAATAAACTGGGACACAATTTCATACTTCAGGTACTGAAATTACCTTTGGTATCCGTTTCCTTGGCAGAGTTTGGGTTATCAAGTTGCTGTAAACAGAGTTGGCTGGCTTTGATGGACATTGCTCATTGTCCTCTTTAATTTTTCTTCTTATTCCTGGCATAAAGTGTAGAAACATGGTTAAAATGTTAATCTAGATTTCCATGATATTCATTAATGGATTGTAATTCAAAAGTGCTTTGCGTAGCAGGGTTTGTAGGAAATTTGAGGTTCCAGTGAACTAAAGCAATGACAAAAAACACTAGATACAGCTAAGAAATCTTGTTCCAACTATGCATTAATAAAATGCTGCTTTCCATGAAATAAGTGCCAAAGATATCTACAAATAATAAGAGCATATGAATAATATTAAGACATACAATAAGACCATGGCACAAACTGGTTTTCCTTGTAATTAGTAAATCAAATTTTCTTTGCATTCATTTTCTTTTGGATGCACATTATTTCCTCTAATGAAAATAATTCACAGAGATTAATTTGCTCTAACATTGTGAGTTGTTCATTCATAAGATGAACAGCCAAAATCATATTAATATAAAACATCACAATGCTCTATGGAACGAGTCGTCAATTGCTTTTCAGAGGAGGTACAGCATTTTTGAATGGGCAGAACAGTGGCAGGGTGTGTAGCACTGCCTGCCTCATGGCCCTGAGGGCATGCTTTCAGCTCTGGCCTCTGGTGATCATGTTCCCCTCATGATCACTCTGGCTTCCTCCCCCCTCCCAGACATGCACCTTCAGTTTAATGCGCTGCTCATAACTACCAATACCAGGTCTAAAATACCAGGATTTTCTCGTTGGCTTCATACGGAAGGCAATCCTGCCCCATCATTTTCCCCAAATCTCTCAAAGTCTCAGGCCTACATTTTGTGTAAAAACAAATGCCACCTCGCCAGCCTACCTGGTGGCTGTACTGGTGAGCCCTGGAACAGCTCGTAAAACTTGGAGAGGTACATGACCATGCTCAGCTTGTCAGGCCCCCTGTCAGCTGCCATCTCCTTCCCTGTGGTTACGGGAGGGATGCCAAACTCCTGTTCGGCAATGTCGAATGCCAGCTGGTTGTTTCTGGCTGAGTCTTCCTCATTGAGGGAATCAAAGTCACTGCACGACAAAGGACAGACAGAGGCGTCAGCCTAAGCCTAACAGCTATCGTAAGGAAAACCGGCTTTCCTGATGGACAAGAGCGAGGCCTGGGAAAATAGAATACTGGAAGGCTCCCATAACCACTCGCACAGTGCCAGAAATAATTCATTACCCTGGATAATACGTGTGAATTATAACACATGGTAAAGCTATCCAAACTCTTTTCTCCCTCCGCCACTGTGCTAATCAACACACTTAGGTCATTCAGGAAATAAAAGAAACAGCTTGTCTGAGTGTTATGTTTTATCACGGCTATGTGCGACAGCGAGGGAAGGCTGGCATGCAGAATGAATCTGCAGCATGTGCTGTTCCTGGGTGTGGACAAAGCAGTGTTTGCACACAAGCCGTTCCTTTTCAGCTGGAATCCGTAGCTGCTTTCAAACCGAAGAAGCTACTGTAATTCATAGCTCAAATAGTGAAATGCAATGTAATGCAATCCCTTGATAATTCTTTTTTTAGTGCAATTCACGTGAGAATGTTCTCATGCAAGTGCAAAAAAAAAAGAATGAAAAAGTTGTATGAAAATGGTTTTATCTTCTTTCATTCAATCAGCTCCAATTTTCTTACAGGTCAGATTGTTCTTGCAGTTAAGAAATGTATAACTCCTTAAAATGGTAGGAACAGAGAATAAGATTCCAAGGCAGATGAAAGGAATCAAATTATTCAGGTCATATTTCTACATACGGTGTGCTCCAGAAGTATTGTGACACTAAAGTAAAAATTGCTATTTTTTCTCTATACTCAAGGAATTTGGATTTGAGATGAACAGATAAATATGAAGCAAAATACAAAATGTTACTTTTATTCTGAGTATTTCAGTGCTTACAGCATATGTTACATTGTTGTAGAATAATTGTAGCACTTTTCGTGTTTCAGGAGAGGATAAATACTGGCACAATTGGCTGCCAGGTGGTTGTTATTGGTCAGGTGTTTATTGGTTGTGCACACAGAAAAGAGCTGTGAATGTGTAATGTTGGATTTAGCCTTTGCTCTTCTCTTTGGTGTCTGCCTTTGGAGTTAGCAGGCCCAAACCAACATGAAGACAATCAGAACCATAGCAGAGAATCTGGGCATAGTAAAATCCACAATTTGAAATATCTTGGAAAAGAAAGAAACCACTGGTGTACTTAGCAAACAGCAACAACTAGGTCAGCTGAAGAAAACAATTGCAGTTGATGATAGAAAAATTATCTGAGCTGTGAAGAAGAACTCTAAAACAATTGTCACTGCAATCACTAACAACCTAAATAGAACAGAGGTATCACAATCTACTGAAACCCCCCAGAACAAATAGCAACTGAAACTGGCTGTAGCAAAAGCTGGGCACAGCACTTCAAAAGAACAAATCAAGACTTTGATGATTTCAAGGGGTCGCAGGCGTGATGCAGTTATTGTGTGCAAAGGATTTATAACCAAATACTAAATTTTATACTACTTTCATTTACTTTTAGTAAATTTTTCCCAATACTTATGTTCAACTAAATTGGGGAGATGGAATATAAAAAGTGGTATTATTCTAAAATGTTAAAGCATACATGCAGAAATACCCAGGAATAAAAGGTGACATTGTGTACTTTTGCCTCATGTGCATCTTTTTATCTCAAACCAAAATGCGTGAGTATACAGAAAAAAAACGGCAATTTTGACTTCTCTGTCAAAGTAATTATAGAGGGCACTGTAAATAAAGTAAATGTAGTTCTGCATATTACACCTACAGCAGTATAAAATGGTCTTAAAGGCTACTTACACAAGGTCAGCTCGGAAGCTATGAATTAGGGCACACAGTGCCAGGCCACTCTTCCAAGAAGTGGTGAGGTCAGAGACAATCACGTTCCTGTAGCCCTCTGTCTGCTTCTGACACCATGTCAAAAGCCGGTTGGGTCGAATTTCAGATTCTGCAACAGAAGACATCACAAGAAGATATGATTAGGAGCACTCTGCTTGCATCATTTCCAAACCTGACTCCTACTTCACCAAAGTTGCATTGCAAACCTCTCCAGCTTATCACAAAAGGAGAGTACAGATGCCCTCAATACGTGAAGCATCAGCTCATCCACTACTAAAACAGAACTAAATATTCTTAATATAACCACATAATAACAGGCAGATCTGGTTACTCGCTCGTAGTGTAGCAAAAGCTTAGTCACTTATGTTAACATTTATTTTACCCAGTACAGTTTATTATTTGTGATGAGCATGCAAAGTTTGGTTCTTTTGCCTCTTTTTATTGTTTTACTGATGAGATCTGGGGGAAAGACGGAATGGACCAACATGTTGGAGAAAAAGTTTTGAAAAAACCTCAAGAATGAGGCTGCACACTGAACTCCTCAAAACAGATGAAAGTCTTGCTAACTCCCAGGTCTATTATAATCTATTAATCAAAAGACCAGAATTCATTAGTTAGTCCTTCCGGATTTGTGCTTTGCTTTTTATGTTGCTTAGTTACAGTATCTTGCAGTCTGGCCAGCTATTTTAATTATTTTGTGCGTGTATAGCTTTTCAAATTAATTACATGAAATTCAAGGCTCTTTTAACTTCTTTCAAGTCTGACATATCCATTTAAGATATGCCTCTCTTCTGGAATTATGATATACTCACTGCTGACGACAAGACAAAAAGCTAAAAAAAACAAATTCCACAAACCTCATTAATCCCCTTAGAAAAACAAACTTCAGACTGTACTTTGTTCCCAGTACAGAAATAAACACTGAATTGCAAAATGAAAACCGATGACTAACAGGTTAACAACTAACCACAAAGATGAAAGTATAAAAGTCTTTATATATTTGAAAAGTAGGAGGACTGAACTGGTCACCCATGGTTGCAAATGCATTATCCACCAGACTAAAAGAGAAACTGTCTCAATCGCTGAGGCTTATATTACATACACTCTGATGCCAGGACAAATAAAAGAAAACTCATCATCATTTCAACTTCACACTCCAAAAATAAATTGTATTAAAGTCCATCCATCCATTTTCTAACTGCTTTATGCATTACAGGGTCGTGGGGGAGCTGGAGCCAGAGCCTATCCTGGCAAGCAACGGGTGCAAGGCAGGATACACCCCGCATGGGGCACCAGTCCATCGCAGAGCAGACACAGACACAAACACACAGACTCACACCAGCACCACGTTTCCCAGAAGACAACCTACCAGCATGTCTTTGGACTGAGGGAGTAAACTGGAGAACCCAGATGAAACACGTGAGAATCCAAGGAGAACTGGGCTCGGGGCCTAGAGGTCTGCACGGGCATGACATTGAAACCCAAACCCGGCCTGTACCCGAGACCTTGAGACCCGACCCAACCAAGCCCGAATGGTACTGCCAAATTTGAAAACCGAACCCAACCAGAACCCGAAATCGGTCACTCTCTTTTCCTCCATGTGCTGAGAAAAACTGGTGTTTAGGTCAAAATGGTTCCATAACGAAGCTGTCCCTGACTCATTTGGCATTTTGAGTAGTTCTCCCTTTGTGAGTTTTTGTTTTATTTCATCCATTGCGAACAGATAGCTAGGTAGGCCCCTTTACACACATACGAGAGAGAGAGAATGAGCGAGTGCACAAAACGAGTTACGAATTTCTTCTTATAAAAATCAATTAAAACATAAAATAATAATAATTCATTTTCACTTATTAGGAAACAAACCCGAACCCAGCCCGAAACCTGGTACTTTGTCGGGCCCCATCAGGCTCGAGTCGGGTAGCAGACGTCTACCAGGGCCCCAACGCTGTGAAACAGCAATGCTAACCACTGCACCAAAGAGCAGCCTGACTGCATTACATCATCCTATATCATCACAGTTGACTTATTAGCGACAATCTAGATCTTCAGCAGGCTTCACTTCACTCCCTACTGTACAGATAGAGAAGGTTCAGTCGTCTGACACAGCTCAGACATAATATACACTGTTTTGAAGGTGAGAAAGATTCTGCTGTCCTGACACTTGAGTTCATCAAATAACTGGCGGACTTACCATGTCGAGAAAGATTAACAGATCTTCTCACTGAAGCTGCTCTTTCAAGGGTACAAGGTTGTAGCTCACCAGTGATGTAGAGATGGCGTACCTATGAAATAGAGAGTAAATATGCAATGCTGATCGATGTAGTCAGCACACTGCAATCAACAAAAACCAGAGCCTAGCAGAATATGTAAAATGGATTTGCACTTAATACCCAATTTACATTCACAGTTCTACCTTTTAATTAACAAGTTAAAAATTAATTAAAACTTTGCCATGGTTCTATAAAGCTTTTGGCAGTTCACATAAGATTGGTTATAAAGGAGAGGAGACAATACAGCCACTTATTGACTGAAGTACTGCCCTTGTCTACATTAAATATCATCCCCAAGGTAGTTGCCCAGTCTTTGATTTTAGCTAAATGTTATTAAATTTCATTGGTTGCTTCTATAGCATTAGCTAATCCTGTTTTTTGGTATTATCTGCAATAGTAGAATCTTTATTGATTAAAATTAGGAAGAGCAGTGCTCTCAGTTTAGATCCCCAATTAGATCCCCAATTCATTGCGCTCTAATTTTAGCATTTATGCCTCACCTATACTCTCAATCTAAATACACACATTTGACTGAATGCAACTGTAATTGGAGAATTAATCTTTTACAAGGAAATTTATTTAAAGCCATCTAAATATCTAAATACACCATATAATATGCCCCGTGTGTACCCATTGTTCAAAGTGCTCATACAATTTGGTCAGGTGAGACCTACCTTTTCTAAATCCATGTTAACTATTCCCATGGACACAATTTCCATATACTGTATGTGATCCTTTAGTGTGGTTCTAACAATTGTCTGTATGACCTTACATGTGATAGTACTATGATTAGTTGCATTAGTACTATGAGTCTATGATTGATATTGACCTTCAATTACCAGCCATATAGGGAGTACATGGGCTGTACACACACTTACACACAGCTACTGAGCTATATTTTGCAAGACTGGATTTCAGGGGAGCTAGGTTGGAACTAGGTAGTGCCATGTGGAATACAGAAGTTCTCTCACTGACAACACTGCAGGCTCACTGGCACCAGGTAAACACCAGTCACTTTGGCCAGCCAAGGATACCCTGGTCAACAGGAGCCCACACAGCTGTGGTGAGGGTTCCAGAGTTGATCATTTATTGTAGATTTAATCAAACATTTTTTTAAAAGAAGACAAAAAACTGACCTGAAGTGGCCTCACACAGTTAGAATTGAGGTTTGGGTATCGAGTTGCTGGATCGATGGTGTACTGCTCAAAATTTTTGGTGATGTTTTCTGGGGTTGTCTGGGGCAGCAATCTATAAACACTTTCTCTGAAAATGGATAAGAGTTTCAACTTATGAACGCAAACTATTCTAATCGTTCTGTTGCCTTAATGTGAGGGACATGCTTGTCCTCCTAGAATATTTTTTAAACCAAGACTCCTTCATCATGGAAGAATATACAACTTAGAAAATGTCTTAAAAGATGGGATTCTCTTTTGGTAACATCTTATTACAACAGTTTCTATCTGCACACACAAGAGCAACATAACACATACATTTAATAGAAATTACAATTTCTAAATCTGCATCTTTAAGTTTCAGCTGTATTCATATTGCAATTATGAATCAGCAAGCCAGGATGGTTGTAGTTATTGGTGCTTACAGGCAATGGGTTACCGTTGCCTATCTCTATGAAACTTCTCAAGTGCTTGAAACCTGCATTCTTTAGAAAGAGTGTTAACCTAACTCCTGAGGCCATGACCACAGCAAAACAAGAACTGAGACCAGCAATTCGACAGATTCAAAGAGACGTTTCCACAGCTACCTCTCGGCCAGCATCTCCAGTGGGGCTTTACCCTCTGCCCAGCTCTTCACCATCCATGCTGTGTCAAAGGCAGCCAAGAAACCGCGGGCACAACCAGTTCCCATGGGCCAGAAGGGCTGCAGAGACATTGCAATACACAGCTTTCCAGGTGCTCAGCAGAGCCTTTGAACTCAAAGGGAGTAAATGCAACTCTCAAGGACATAAATTAGTAAAAAGATAAAAGGTATCACAATTTGTTTTTGCAAACCAGAGCCAAGAAATGTGGGAAAAGTTTCTGTAGTACTGAACTCTGATCTCAACACAAGGGTAAAGCCAAAGAAAGAAAAAGGAGGAGCCACCTACATTTTTCAATAAGCAGCAGCAGATCTCAAGCATGAACGTAGCTTTTATATGACTACTGTACCTATAGCCCCTGTGATGGGCATACTACACTGTGTGCAATATGCATTTAAATGCACTCTTTGCATCTGGTGAAAATTAAATTTATTCCTCGTTTTAGATCACACTAGAAAGCCACTAATGCACAGAAAGCTGAACTGACATTCACTTATCTTTACCAAAGTGATCAAAGTCCGATTTACTAATCCAGATTCTCTTCTACAGAGAGCTACACTGGAATCCATACAGTTACAGAGGAAACAAGCCAATATATACTATTTCATGCCTCTGGGGTGCTCAAATAACTACACACCGACTTACAAAAATAGATGTGAAAGGTACTTTTGCAGTCAAAAGGAAATGAAAAGGTCCCCTGCTCACCTCCAGCAAACTGTCCCCGACAAGAGCAACCAACAGCTGATGCCCAAACCTTTCCCTGACCAGGGCTGCGTTCTCAGAGGCATACATGCAGGTGAAGTCAAACATGGCCACATCAGGTTGGCCATAGTGATTTATTGCATAATCAAGGGATGGCAGCTGATAGTTTGTACCAAAGTCGGCTGCTTCACGAGCGTAGGAGAGCAGCGCCTCTTGGTTCACATTGTTGCTGCTGAGAAGCTTCTCTGTGTCAATGTAGTCCTGATTAAGGGAGAAAAAAAGCAACTAAATATACACTTGTCACTAATGGATGGTAACCAAGGTAACCAGGATTGAGGAGGCTGCTTCCTTATTTAAAGCTTCTGAATCTTTAATCTTTAATCAAGATCTATTGGACCAAGTTCAGAGCTTGTAATTCACTGAATGTTGGTCTTTAAGTACTGTAATATATACATCGTATTGTATACATTGTGGTTCAGTAGTATATTATTATTAAACATTAATTTATGAGGTACTAAACCAACAGTCAAACTACTAAAAAGTAAAATATAGTAGGTAAATTAATGAAAAAATCTTTTTAGGAACACACATTATTAAGAAAAAAATAAAATTAACATTTACTTATGAAGGTTACATTACAGAGTTGAAAAAAAGTTAAAAGTTTCTCACAGCTTATACAGCTCTTACAAATGTGGAAAGTCTGCAGCTTAGAAAAGTTTGAACCCCTGTTTCTCAAAATTATTTCAGTGTACAATTCCCCAATGAAATAAGTTAGAAAAACAAAAACTATACTTCCAGAACAAGATCTAAAAACATTTCCCTAAAAAATAGAGTGCATTAAACCAGAAAAAAAAGATTAATTATTCTACCACATTCTTTAAAATTAAAACGCAATGAGTCTTGTTATAGTTGTGTCAGTACTGTGTGAAGTAAACTGCTGTGGAAACATATTAAGACTTGTAGTGCTTGTCTGTAATCTGATCCCCTCAGGCGATGTTTATGACCCTGTTTTTATATCTTTGTTTGGACGTTTACAGTTTCCAGACAGTACTTGTCAAACTGGTATGTTGCCAGAGACGCACTCTTCAGTACCGAGCAGCATTCTCTAATCTGGTGTCTTATCATTGTCCTCCCCCTGCTTGCTTGTGCATACCATCAGTGGATTTTATATTATAGTATCTATAACTAAAAGTCAGCACCTTCTTCAAGCCCGTCATAAGCAAAAGTATTTTAAAAGGCTGGTAGCTTGCACTGATGAATCTGTAAACTTAGGGAGGAAAAATGAAGAAAACATGTCACATGGAGTTGTAATATTAACCAGAAACCACTTTAAATTATTTTTAATTTCAATCAAAAGTCACCTTATCGTGTCAAAGTTGCAGGATTAATATATCCTCTTTTTCCTTTTTGTGATTGAAAAAAGGCAGAACAATCTTTAATGCTTAATAGTTTTCCTTGCTGCGCAGTGGGGAAATATGTGGGGAATTATGTGAGAAACCGAGGCAGCTGGTGTCCATGGGTTGCGCCTCACCGATGGAGGATTTCTGCATTGCATAGTGTCAACTACAGTATGTCACTATAGCCCCCTATATCACAAAAACTGAAGGCAGAAGCTTCTAAAAACATTAAGACATGTCATGCAATTTGCTCAAGTAAAATGCAGGTTCCTATGAGCTGCAATCAGTTATGGACTCCTTATTATAACCTTGAGATTGCGGTCCCAAAAGGAATGTCACATACTGTACTGTACTATATACACAGACGGGCATAAAGGAACCAAATTTCTCTAATAGTGAGCAAAGGAGCATGAAGGGAATTGCACTTTTCAAATGAATCTTCTTTAGACAAATAGGCCTGTCTGGAGCAAACTGTCCACCAATGTATCTCCTAGGAACCATGAAGAAGATGAATTAGGGATCAGTCAGCTCCTTGAAAGCCAAATGGCCTGAATGGAGTTCTTGTAACCCTTCTGGGTTTTTTTTATCTACTTGCATCAGTGATTGATTTAGCAAAGATGTATGATTTAAGAGAATCTGTGAAAGTTCCATAGGTGTGATAACTCTACATTCAAAGTGAAACTCAAACATTTCAGTTGAACTCAAAAGCAACATGCAACATAAATCTACCACAGTGCTGCAGTCTTGGAATAAGCTCCTTACATGAATGATAACTTCTTTGTCCAGAAGACTTTGCTTCTTAGCAGTCATGACAAAATAATGAGTGTCATCCTTATAGTACACAATGTTCTCCAGGTCTACTCCTGAAAACAGAAGTGAAAAGATAAATTACTTCACGATACAAATAATTTGAGAGCACTGTCCACAACAGAGATAATGTAATTATTTGCAATGATTTATTTCCTTGGTGCAGCTACATTATGGCTACAGAATTGTTGTCATGATACAAGTGCATAATGTATTCCCAAATTGACCATTTTCACAGATCTGACTACTAGATTGAAAGTATTTCTTTGAAATAGCCTGGTGACAAAATTGTACAAGAATGAAAACATGACAGAAAGAAAAAAAGTGAAAAGGCTCTGGAAATTAAGCTATCCTGATAAAAGCCTAGCAATCTTAAGTTTTTGTATTCAAATTATTTTATATTATATATTGTGGCATTAACCTTGCAATAAATCCAGCAATAGGTGTGTTTCTAGAACTTGCCGTTTGCTACTTATTTTTTCAAAAGGTTTATCACAATTAAGATATATTCACAGTATATTCACATGATTGCCTTGGTTTGACCTCATTTATGCTGTTTCTTTAGTTTAAACATGCTCTCACTGTATTTTACTACACTCAATCATATGCAAATCATGATGTACAAAAATACATTTGGAAGAATTTATACTTGTATATTATAATCCCATGCAATAATAGCACGGCATTAAAAGTATGTAATGTGACCTCATATTAAAAGTCTGGTGAGTTACATAATGGTTTATGATTAAAATGACCACACAATGAAAGAAATCTAATTTCCTCACAATTCCTGTTATACATCGTCTTCTGTGCTACTGTGAATGATATGCTTGCTCTGCGGTTTCATTAACTCAGGATTAGGGATCAGGCAATGGAAGAGAGAAATTCTGTACATTGGGAACCCCATCTGTGAAAGACATTGTGGGTTACACTGTGCAAAACTCCTAAATCCTCCTCTTAATGCATGCTTAAGAAATAGAAAATACAAATTCCTGAATCTGAGAAATTTCCTAGACCTTCTCTCCCATCAAGAAAGGGTTGTGCATAACAATGATGTTTGCCAGTAAAACACCTTATGATAAAAGGCACCCAACTGTGACTTTCATACAAAAGGGAATTAATTTTAAAACTGGCCCATTCCTGGACAGTTAGCAACCCAATATCTTCCTCACTCAAGTTCTTTGTAATAATGTCTGCAACACCAAAAAAGGGAGTAGACACCCACCTGTTTCTTCTTTGAGATCCTGAAAGAATTTCTGGTTAAAGATGAAAGCAACACCACTAATTTCTTCTACCTTCGCCTCCGCAGTCGTGTTTCTATTTATAAAGTTGGCAGTGATTGCTATAGCCAACTTGCCACGGAACTCCTTTCTTCTGAAACCTGAACAAAGCAAGCAAGATCATTACCTCCCTGCTGTGCAGTAGTGTACAGCACAGAACATTACAGCCACAAGAATCAGACTTGATTTTGTCTTAAGCAAATGCAAGTTATTTTAAGTAGAAGTCTAGCCATTAATATCCTAGATTTTAAAACTAAATGAGCAACAGCAAAATGATTCTGTGATTGGATGAAGCAAACTAATAAAATGTTTGTGATGTAATATAATAAGCACTAAGAGAAGATTGTGGATTTCCTATGTTTGACTTTTTAAATCTGAAGGACTCAGTCTTAGAGCCACTTAACAGTACCATGGGTCTTAAAAAGCAGAGGAACAACACCATGTGATCTACCTATAAAGAAAAACTTTTGTAAAAAAAAACGAAAATTCAGTGAAGTAAGATTTTATTTCGTCACCCAATGTCCATTTGAGATTTTGTTCCTGATAGAGACCTAAATGAAATGATTTATCCCAAATACATGCAGGCATCTGAAAAAGTGAAATTATGTTGACTATTTCCACAAATGTATAAGTCGGAAAAAACAAAGGCTAGCATTTTCTAGCAGGGCTAGAAAAAAAGGTAAAACTGTTAAGTCTTTGATCTCTAATATGCACTAGTTATACTTATATTCATCCTTCACTATCAAAGTAGCCCAAAATTGGGGTGTTATGAGTGTTCATCTATAAAATGGAAAATACGGAAGCACAATATAGGTAAGAATGTCTAATAAATACAAACACTAGGCAAGGAAAACCCATATGGCTTCAGGCAGTAGCATATACACTCAGACAGGGGCATGACAAAATTACTTGGGTCGGCTGTAAAAACGTGTATAAAAAGGAAACCAGTCTTGGCTGGAAGTATGTGTTAGTGATAATGTTCTAACAGGTAGTGCCCTGTTTTAATAAACCGGCTACCTGAAATCCATATCCCACTATGTCCGTACAGATAAGTGTACCAGAAATAACGGAATGGACTGTATACCAAAGGGAAAGACCATAATAAATATAGTCCAGAGATGTTCCACTGGACTCATCTCTGCTCCCATTTTATAGAGGCATTTTCCTAACGCATCACTCTTTGAAAATCTGGAAATATTGCTTTTAAAATAACAGTTTGAGGTAGATTTAACTAACCTCAGACAAGTGGAAAAGAAGTTAAAATAAAGCCGGACAGAGAACTTTTTTTTGGCTTTTTTTAAATTATAGTCTAGCCAAACGTTTCATTATTTTTAGATGAGCGAAGCTCTCCTTTTTTGGAAGAAAGATTTTTTTATGGTAAGAGATTTCAGACATGAAACTCCCAGAAGCATGCATAAACTGTTGAACACGAGCCAGATGATTACATAGGTTCTGTGGTTTACTTTGTTTCTGTAGTTTGGCAGAACATGTATAAAGAGCAACCTAACATTAGTAGCAAAGGCAATGACATCATTGTACACAGCTCCTAAAAAATTGCATGTGAAAAGAGATTACAGAGGCTAGTATGAATTTATAGGTTCATAACTTTTTAATGTGTATTTGGAAACAATTTGGCATTTAAAAAAAATAATTAACACTAATGAGAAAACCAGGAACAGAAAACTAGAGAAACTAGTTATTTGCTGTTGTTAGAGTTAGTGCATTTAGATTTAGATTTAGTACAGCTGTCTTGCAATACTTTCCTGAGTAGCAACTGTCAGTTTTCAATTAATGCCCTGCTCTCCCTAAGCACGTGCTCAGTCTTTAACGCGTCTGAGTGAAAACAAGCCTTAATCTAGAGCTGTGGTTCATTATGGGCCACATGTTTCCAACCTTCCAGGGTGTTTCGGCGTCCGTCTGCCCCCACAATCACGTCAAAGTCAAAATCCGCCACAGGGTGATCGGCTGGTCGGATCTCTGCCCTCCATCCGGGGCCTGAGAGGCAGACGGAGGAACCACATGTTAACCTTGTCGAAAAACTCCCAGAAACCTTGGCAATTAATGTCTGAAACAGCTTTATCAGGACCAACAAAATGAACATATCTCCCTAGTACAGTACATGATCACAAAGTCACAAAGTAGTTCCTATTGGACTTTTTTTTAAAAACATAATCATGACACTTCTCAGTACTTGACATGTCAGGAACAGTTATGTCTTCATATCTGGCATGTAATGAGTGTATGCCCAAAACTCACATGTGTCAGAAAAGCTGGTGTCACTTGTCAACACAATTGGAGAATCACTAGATTCTTCTAAAGGCTGAATCACTATTGTCAAACAAAGCAATTACCTTACTGAATGCAGCCCCAGTTTCTGTTCAGCTACAGTTTTCCATTACACTCCGGGGTAATAGTCTAAGTTTTTCTTCTTGATTAAAACTAAAAAGAGACTAAGCTGATAAATGAACTTTTCTAAAAAAGGCATTCTAATAAGGGTGTGCTGAACAGCTGAGTTTGCGGAGAATGGAAATGCAATGTTACTGAAAAGCAGTCTATGTTGAATGCATTGTCCCGAAGGGAAAGCACGCAGCATCAGTGGCATAAAGGAAAATGTATGTCACTTCATTTCGGAAACACTATTTTTATCTCCCATCTGACGCGCATGCTGGCCAGTTACACAGAGGAAGCCTAGAGAACTGCAGTCCAGAATCTAATAAACAAATCCAATTGGAAAAAAAGATCCTACAAAGAAGAAGTTTAACAGTAAAACTTCGCTCTATGCATCCTCAGTGCCAGATTATGTGTGTATATTGACACGTGCAGTTACATTCTTGGTGTCTGGGCCTTTGAGGAAATGCAGGGCTATGGAAAAAATCCCTCTGGATTAGTTTGTAAATAAAAGACTTATGAAGTTACCCCACCTTGTTCATCCCCAAATTAATTCTGATTTTAAAACAAAGCCACCCACTTCGGGGAAAGAAAATCTGTTACACAGCCAAGGAATGACATCAGTAATTCGGAACTAATAATTTGGAACTAAGCATGTAACAATTATTTCACAAATGGTAATTGATTTTCTTTACTGCGGAATTTCACCGAGCTTTTCACTTAAGTAGACTAGGCCATTCTTATTAGCGAGGCAATACTGTTTATCCTGGTTGTCCGGGATGTATTTATATGTGTGGAGGCTCATAGTTCTGCAGCTTGTAGCTTTGACTTGCTGGACTTAATGCTTCAGTGACATGAGGCAGTACACAAAATGAACAGCAGAGCCAACACCATTATTCTTTATACAGCCCCCTTGCACTGAATGGAATAAATAGAGCATAGAGGTGAAGAAAACATGATGAAAACACACAGAAAAAGAGTGCCCAGGCGGCCTTATTCTCCAGCAGAAAATCACTGATAAAGATGGTTGCGAACTTAACAACTATTGGAAATGCTCTTCTGAACTAAAAAAAACAACAGACAACAGAATGCATTAAACAGCATATGCAAACAGTAAGTGCAGAACTACTCGTTATGTGCTGTTCTCCCTTGAATGGCTAAAGACACCCCTGGAAACAGTCCAGGTAAAGACTGACCAGGTGTTTCTGAGACAGAGAGGTTAATTTAACTTCTGTTCCCATCTGTCGTCAGATAGCGCCTTAATGAAAAACTCTGGTTTTCTAATCTGTGCTAATAATAATTTTGGGCCACAGAGATGCTAAGCTGCGTTGATGAGCGTTGATCCTAGCCTGGATCTGATCCCACGTAAGAAAGACCTCAAAGACCTCAGACCAGGTGAGTGACCCACCTGCAGCTGCTTGCCTGCTTATTTCTGACTTCCCCCTCCACCCAAAGTGATATATCAGCTGTTCATGTTCTCTCTGTATCCTAAAAACGATGCTGCGGTTATATTTTAGTTTTTTCTATTTAGACTGTGAGCATTGAATTCATGAACTTCACCCAGATGAAAATCACTAAAAGAGAAAAGGCTAGTGTTGATGCAGTGTGAACTGTAAATACTTGACTGTCCACTTACAGTGTCACTAAAACAGCAGTTAAAAAGAGATGCTTACCTTCATTTTCCTGTTCTTCAGGAGGTTCCAAGAGCTTCACAAACTCCACATTCACATGGATCTCCACTGCCAGAAGCAAGGCTACTTTAAGCAGCATGAGCTGAAGCTGTCTAATACCTGTGCAATGACATTTCAGATACTAATGTTTAGCACTTACTGTATATATACATGGCATGATTATTGCTTATACATACAACATATGTGCAGTTGCAGACATTAACATTGATGCTCTGTACTTTGAGTAGATTCACTATAACATTTACATTTCAATGGATGTGATGAACAATTTTAATGAAATGCAGAAGATTTAAGACAAAATATGTTTTAACAATATTTCATATAATGAATCAGTCAACCTTTTTTTCTGATTCAAGGCTTCAATGGCAAAACAGAAAAGAATAACAAAACTAATACTTGTTTTATGTTTTCTAAGAGTACACATACAAGCACGTGGCCTTTAGACTTGACAGGTCTCAGGGAAATATTTCCAATAGAAGGACAGACAGATCTGCTTTGATTCTCGGCTTCTCCTACATGAAAAGCCTTACCCCGACATGTATTATTCACAGCTTTGATAGAAGAGATGATACCAATGAATAGTCAAAACAGACCTTTCACAGAAAATTCTGATTGCATATGGTCATAACTGTAATAACTATATGTAATTAAATTGATTTTGTGGCCAGCAACAGGTTTAACAGCAAATTTTCATGTGTTAAACAGTAGGTTTTACTATAAACATTTATTTTAGACTTTCACTGACATTTCTTCATAGAGCTTATCTATAACACCGTTAGGAGTTAAACCATCTGGCACATAACTCATTCTGCAGCTCTTTTCCAAGATTACTGACTTCATTGAACTGCGCTCAGTTTTAAAATACTGCCAAGCAATATATCTTTTTGTGAGTGCAATATTACATGAATATAGATATCAGAGTGAAATACCATTTTACCAACAAAAAATATATAACTGCATGTTGAGAATTGTATGTTTAACAATTTACAATTCTCACATTTAAGCAATGTCCGCTCTTCAGTGGAAGAGATTTTTCCCCCACAAAAACACATCTCTTCTTCAGTCTAAATGAAGGATCAGCTAGAGATAATAACAGTGTAAGAGCAAGGAAAAGAAAAAAGAAATTCCACCCGCTGTCCCACTTACTGATATGGTCTATGGCTCCCGCACAGAACTTCCCATAGAACTTCTTAGCACCCAGTCCTCGCAGGTCATGGATGGTGTAAGGCCAGAGGTGAAGCACATTGTTTCTAGAGAAGGTGTCTCTCTTCTCTATCACCACCACTTTAGCCCCGAGTAAGGCCAGCTCTATAGCTGTCCTTAGACCACAGGGTCCCCCTCCAATAATGAGACACTGCAGGAAGCAAAATGAGAAAACTTTGTGGTAAGCAATTGTTACAGCAGCCCCGAAACACCAGTTCATAAAATGGAAAAACAAATTAAAAATGGTCACCATGAATTTGACAATCTTTCTATATTAGGGCGGTGTAAAAAAAAATGCAGAACCTTCTGCAAGGAAAGCAAACAGTGTTACAATGAAATTCACATAAAATAATTGGGGTCAAAGCTGCTGAAATGAAAACAAAAAAATACATTTCTTTCAAAATACATATGCAATAAACAACCCTGAATCCATAATGTTAAAGATTTATTGTGCTATTTATCATTAAGTACTAATAATTTTGTGAATGACAGTGAACAATTCCATCGTGTCACATCTAATTTGTTAGGGACAGAATGGATAGTGCCACAACACGTCTGCTTTTCTTCATAAGTAACTTGTTCCTATTATTCTATCCACTGTAGCCTAAGGATCTAACCTAAAAAAACATGTTGGCAATATGTACATTTAGTTTTTATTAGTATATTCCAAAAAATAACTGATTAAACAAAGAAATACATTCTGTAATTGCACGACGTTACAGAATCATTTAAGCAAAGAAGAACAATATGTAGCATTCAGCGAATCTACGAGACAGATATGCAGAATTCTTCATCTCAAGATTACGATGTTAAAAGTCCTTAATTGTTACAAACTCTCTCTTTGTGCATAATGTTTCATGCTAAATGACAAAACATGTGATTACATCATAATCTTAACCAATAATTACAGCACTGCAAGATCAAGGCATTTTGACATCTATGTCACTAAAATATGCTTTGATTCACTTTCTCAGTTTACAGGTCAGTCTGAAAATGTATTAGCTGGGTATGACCTCATCCTGAAGGATGCTGACTGAGAGGTTGGTGGTGTTATTAACAAGGTTTTCAAAAGCATTATCTCATCAGCTAAGTACGCTTGAGTCACTTTGTAACAGTACTGTTCAGATGGTGAATAGCTGTTTGAGATCTATTATACTGCTGTTCAAGTCATTGTTATAAAGGTTACACAGTATAAGGGTCTAAAGGTTTAAGCATTGAATGCATAAAAAGTATGATTCACATTCTATTAGGAAACAACTTGTGATGTGCTGAAAAGGTAAGGTGCTTAAATATTACCACACATTATTCTAGGAGTTAAATGTATTGTTTTTACAATCTGGCAGTATTTAAGTAGTTTGGTCAAATTCTAATCAACGTGACAAGACAAAATTTAAAGGGATAATGAACTAAACATTTTAATGTTTGGCATTAACTTTGCTGGTTGAGGAAATGACAGCCTCAATCTTATAGCACAACCTTGACTTTGCCCCCCAAAAAGGAAGCCTTTCTTGATTGACAGAGCTATGGGTGCATGACTTTAAGTTTGATTGACTTGGTTGGGAAATGCAAGGATTCAGGGAAACACTGATTGAAGAATGTGTGCCATTGTGTGGAGTGAATGAGAAACACTGACGGGGATTAAACAAGTCAGCAAACAAATGTCAGCAAATAAAATTAAGATCACTTATTTTTGGAATTCTGCGATGGGCTGTAGAAGATGTGCCAACCAGGAAAGAGTATCCTGAGGTTATCTGCACCGAGATGGAAGCAGAGTAAGAAATCGTAGCGACTGAGAACTTGCTGATGTTTGTTTGTGAGCTGGAGGAACGCCAGACCGAGGAAAGGGTGGAGAGTAATAAGAATAAAGAGAATGTAATTGAGCTTGGTGGACTGAATATCAATGCTGTGACATGCTCAGTTTGCAGTGACTGAATGAATAAGGACAGATTCCAGGCAGAACCCCCAAACAAGAAGAAATAGCAGCTAAAGCAATGTTCTTAAAGTAATGGTGCCAAGGAAAATGTGTCTGTGAGTAGAAACTTGTGGGGGGGATAGGGGGGAATCGAGGGCTAACATGGCACCAGTTGGACACCAGTGGAGGGGGGTAAGAGGGTAGGTGGTCTGTCACCATATCTTACGGGCTTGACTGGCTTGGGCTCAGTTTCTGGGGTGATTAAGGATCCCAAGCCCAGTGAAGACTGATGCAATGTGCTCACACACTTTGGCAAACTGAGGGTTTTTGCAAGTTTTTTTGTTCTTTAAAGATCCAAATTCAGTTTTTAAGGACTTCAACACCTTTTGCAACACCCAATGCTCTCCTGAATGCACTGTTTTCTGTTAAGCTCAAGTAGTCAGAACTGGGCAACTGTGAAATTAATTATTTTAAAGACGTAATGCGCAATAATTCCACAAAAAGCACAGGCCTCTAATTCGATATAATTGTTTATGTAAAACACAGACTTCCTGATATTAACATCACTTATTAAATTTAGAATGAAGCACACAACTTGTTAATTTATTGTGTACAACATGTATATAACCATTTAAGGACAATCAAGAAGAAAATGTCTTGCTTTTTAAATCTGTTAAGTTTTTTTTTTATTTGGCACAGACTTAACATTAAAAGCTTAACATATTTCAGATAATTATTGATGACTATCTGCGTACCTTTTATAAACATACACATCACGCAAAGAAATACAGTATATATAAACTACTCCCTATTTGTTATAGAAAGACGATAACATTTTTCCCCTCCTTGTTTGTTCCATGATGACTTTCTTCTTCAAGGGGTCAACCAACTGGAGTTAAGAACTGGAGCAACCAGTGACTGCACTGGGTCACACTTCCTGTCACAATGTGTGTCAGAAGATAATGAAAGGGTACTCATGGGTGCTGGGGATCTTGCAGACCATTTTGAAAATATCCTTGATACATCATATTTTCTGAACTAGAACAAAAGTGCCTCAAAAACAGTTTCCCAGGCTACAGCCAAGGCTCTTCTCATGATGTTTGTTTAGACTTACGGAAGCCCTCTGTCACTAAGGTATAGTACGTGTGAGTAAGAGCATTTCAGACTGTTTCTTCATTGCTGTTTACAGAGCTGCCTCCAGTGGGTAGAGAAGGCAGACCTTAAAAGGCTTGGTACAGCTGTGCTGGCAATAAAGTAAAGTAATGCTTTAGTCAGTCTCTTTTTTTTTTTTTAATTTGAGGACAGGTCAGCCAAGGACAGCAAAACAACAAATCGTCGTGCAAAACTGAACCACATTCGACTGCATCAGTTCCTCAGGTACTTCTCCTGGCTATGGCTGCGTTTTGTCAGGTCTCGCTCAAGCCCTTTCAATCACTCCGCTGTGTCCTGCATTTCTTTTTGTAGCAAGTCCTTATTCCAAAAACAATCAACAGCGTTTTCCGTGAGGTTATGAAAACATTCCTCCTCCTTATCTGGCGAGGTGTGAAATCGGAGCACAGGAAAACATTTAACATTTGCTTCTATTTTAAAGCAATGAATGTAGGCAAAAAAACTGCTGAACATACTATGTTTTATAATGTTTTATAATTCTAGACAGATCTAGATTACTATTGAACTTACATTAATTACAAGCAATCACTGACACTGTATTAATAAAATTAACAAGCTGATAAACTCTTAAAAGTTGCACTTAACTTTACAGGATAGGATGAATTAATTTAAAAGTGTTTGTAGCTTCTTTCTTTATAGTCTACTATCATAAGAGCATTGATTCCTTACATATCAGGAAATATTTACTTCAACACTTATCTGGGAGGGTTTTTTTATCTTTAATAAAACAGACAATTATCAACCTCATCATTTCTAAGTGTTGGTGATGGGTATAGTTATGACATTTTCAGATTATTATTTTATGTTTTTGTTCTTATGTAGCTGTTCAAAATAAAAAAAGACTAAATAAGCAATCTACAGTATAACTAGCAGTAAAGCTGTAGTACATTTTTGCCTTTTGTTCATTCTTTCTTCATAAAAGCCTCAGTACAGGACATGTGCGCGATCTGTGGATGATGCAGGTTTAGTCACATAATGAGTAAGATCACTTCCACTTCCTTCCTATGGGTAGGATAGCTGCCAGCCTGGCTGCTCAGGAAACAGGCCCACTACCTCCATCAATCACGACACCAGAACTGTCAAAGTCCTTCAGCTACGATCATTTCACAGCCACTGCAAGAAGGGTCACAGCTACAGGCCTTCGGATACACCAGCCTCTTTATGTACACAGTAGGACAATGTCCTGGCAAATAACAGTGGACTATTTAAATCATTCCACTTTAAAATTGCTAAAGCTTTAATGGATGGAATGGAATTAAAAGCAAATACGAAGATTACTTGAATGTGAAGGATTCACATTTTGATTCTTCACAACAAAGAGGCATCATTGAGTAGGCTAAGGCATTGCAATATCTTTAGCAGTTATTTTTGTTTTGAATTTGGTGGTGGTGGGGGAGTCTGTGATAATTATTTAAATGTGCACATCAAAACAATTTCTTTTTCCACGCTTTGAATGTTCCACATAATTAAATCGATGGAAAACATAGCTTTTGATCCATTTTAATGTATGCAACTACATTCTTAATTAATTTCTAAAAAGAACTCCAAGGGACACTTCTTGTTATGAAGAGCAGTGAGGTGGACAAGGACGCATCGGTACTCTATTAAGCAAAAGAGCTCCTAGAGCACACTAGAGCACTCTACTAGAGCACAAAATTCATTAAAAAAGAAAGGCTGAACTGCAAGTGAAAAGAAAAGAAGGGAAAGAGTTCTTTGACACTAGTTCTAAGACTTTATACTAGGCAGGATGTACTGAATTTCTGCCACGTCTTCTTTTCCTATAGACAAATACTGAGGCTAATTAGAACACAGAGTTAAAGTCTGCCTCTGTTGGTCAATATAATTATCCTGAAAACATATAGGTCTGCTTGTCAATATACATTACTTCGGTCAGCAACTGCCAATTATAAAAGTGAATGATAACATGCTATTCCCAGACTTAAATGTAGGACTTCTAGGATTCCGTGTGTATTCATAAATACACAGCGATAAAAGTAATGGAGAGCAAAGATCCTTAACGCAAACTTATGCTAATGATTTCAGAAAATGCCATGCTGAAATATGTGGAAAATAAAATAATTTTCAAAAGATTATATTTTCTTACACAGGAATGCTACATTAAAAATAAAAAAATATAACAATATGAGATAATGACAGAGAAACTTATTCAGTTTGCAAGTACATACCATAAATTGCAGAATATATAATAGAAATTAAATCTCCATGAATTTTAGAACATTGAGTCTTAGCTCACAAGATTGCAGCTTCTTTGATGTGCTTTTATTACCAGAAACTAAAAACATTTTAATTATTAATACTTTACAACAGACATTTACTTATATATTTCTGAGCTACTCAGATGTGGTATGCAGGGTCAAGCATACATCCAGAGAGAGGAAATTAAATTATGGCGTTACGCCAATAGTCTGAGCCTGTACATTTTTTAGAAGCCATAGTCTATTTTTAATGTAAACATATAACTCGCAAAAAAACATAAAACATCCTTTCACATCAGTAAACCTATGGTACAATTAAACCATATGCTAGTTTGGCCCCTTGTAGAATAACTAATTTTCTTAAAATGTATTCAAAATTATTATCTCCCTTTTCTTTATACTGTATATCCTTCTCCTATATGATCTGTCTGTAAGTGGCTAGTACAAAACACCAGGTAAATATCAAAGAGCTTGGAAGACAACTTTGAAAACATCTGTCCTTTGCTCCAACAAGCAAAGCAGAATCTTTAGTCACAGATCCAAGTTCAATTCTGAGTCAGCACCAAGTCCAAATACTTTCTCCTGGACTGGCAGCATATGTCAGCACCACACTAAACATGTATATCCATTTAACTGCATCTCTGTCCATCTAAATCCACCCTTTTCCTCATTCGAGATCCTGAGGTCATTTAAACAGAATGTAAACTAAGTCTGAAGATTTTTACATAAATGGTAAAATAATTTAAAAGAGCAATCATACCATTTTTTTTACAAAAACTTGGCCACTTGCCAGCCTTTTCTGTGCTTTCAGTTTCTGTTAGATCAATAGGTCAACATGGAAAGATTCGAATCCAGCCAGGGATGTTCAACAAGTATATATGGTATTGTATACCATTTATTAAGGAAATAGTTCAACTAAAATAACTGACAGGAACCATTAGTGAATTACTTGTGAATAACAAAGTAATTGTAATGAAGTAATATTTATTCTAGATCACTATTAACAATTTGCAGCATGGCATCACACCATTCTAAATAAAGCAAAATCTGTACTTTTTATTAACCTAGCATAACATTTTATTGAATAATTAAAATGAACACTCAATCACAAATATAAATTCATAATATATTTGTGAATTCTATGAAATGACAAAAACCTTTTAGATGGAACCTAATATTTATTACAATTACTGTAATTGTGTTTGCATAAAAAATACATTTAATTCCTTATTTTGCTATCTTTTAAAAACATGTTAAGACTTACGGAATGTTAAAAACGTTTACTGACAAGTCTGACAGAAAAGGCATTACAACAACAAATAAAAACACAAGAATTGCATCAAATTAAATAGGCACTAAGAATTCTGACCCATTTATTAGATAGATAGATAATACTTTACTAATCCCGTAGAGAAATTGATGATTATGTATATTATGTGTTATGAACATATTTTAACATACTCTAAAATATGAAGCACCAACAGAAAGAAAATTAGACATAAAAAAATCAAAATAAGAAGTCTTTCAATAACTAAAGTAATTATTGTTTGCATGATTCACATGAAAAACGTTGAACAGATATTTTTATAATGCACAACAATAAATATACTTAGACCAGTAAAGACTGCCTTGTATTTCTCTTTTTAGAGTGATTTTTATTACCGTTTTAATGATACATTTAGACCTGAGCTTTAGCAACATTTCTTTGTGAAAGGAAAAAGCATGATCACAAGGATCATGTAACATTGATGTCATAAGAGTAAGAGCTCTCATGACGAACATTATGAAGGCTTGGCTACCTCTTGCTTTGCAAATGTAATCTTCTGCCTATAACTCTATATCTTCTTGAGATTGCAAAATTACCTGTGACTAATGGTATCAGCAAAATGACTCCAGCTGCATGAAGGCAACCTTCCTCTTGAACATTTGTCTGAACTATAAATGTGATTCATCAGTATGTCACTGAAAGAGCATCTTGATTATTCTGGCAAACCAGCAAAAACTAGGGTAGAAAATAGGAATATGACCCAGGAGCTCTTCTGTTACCTTCAGCCTGCAATTTCAGCAAAACATCACAAGTGCTGCATCCTTTATACCACACACCGCGCAACGTGTCTCTTAAGACACCCTTGGCAGGACTGCCATTAATTCCTATCCAGCCTTTGACCATTTAATCCATAACCTCTTTAACGCTAGAATTTTTTTTTACGTAGGAAACTGCAAACCAAGTGGGAGTCCTTAAGAGTGATGGCATCCTTATTCAAACAAAATCTGCAAAAGATGACCTTATGGGGAAAAAAAAAAGTTGTCGAGCTGAATTTACCTACTGTTTTTAAATACCCAAACTCAGCAGGCAAGGTATAGATTTTCCAGTCAGCTATTTGAATGCATGAGCAAGTCATTTACCTGAATTTACATTCAAAGACAAACACTGCCAATGAGATCGACGCACGAGGGCTGTGAATTCGACAACGACAAAACCCTGTGGAGTCAAACACTTTAAACTTCAAGTCCTGCTAGAGGTTAAAGCATCTTATGACTCGAGTGGAATAATATTAATCCAATATTTAGAGGCCAATCATTAACTAACAAAGGAAACGTTAACTTTAAAATAAATTAAGCCACAAAATTAAGACTTGACAAAATGAGCACAACATTAGTCCCCTGGAACCTTTTCCAGCCACATGCCTTTATGCCATTGGAACAAATTGCTGCTGCCAATATTACTAATACTAATATTATAATACAATAATTACTAATACTTCATCCCAAAGGAACCCATCTTGTGTTTATCTCATATAAGAGGGGACACACTTCATCCACGTCTGGGTGAAGCATGGTTGCCATTATGCAGCATTAGCTATATAACTTGGAAGATCCAAATGAATGCTCCATGCATAGGATGGCACCCTCTACAAAGCAATGTCTGTGGTTACCATACTGGAGAATTGGTTTGAAGGGCAGAGTACCACCTGCTGGTCCAACTCCATTTAGATCAGAATCCATGGGTTTAAACCAAAAAAGAGGTCCTCCATCCCAAAATTAAACAGACCAACCAAGTCTAGCTTTGGAGATTTGACACAGTCAGGCTACAGAGTGGTGTTGCTATGCTGGTATTGACACACCCCCATCACAGTTACTGTGACTATGATCCTTCCTGTACTGCAAGTCACAATGCCCACAAGCGAAGAGGCATTTTGAAAAACAAAAAGCCTAAGAGAAAGAATTTTATTATCGTGAGTTAAATATTCAAGAAGATAATAGATTACTTACCTTTGTACCTGTACAGGCATTTCCTTTTTTGTATTCTTTATGACTTGCTCTCTTGTCAAGTTTATTCCACAGGGCTTTGGCCTTCCAGGTGGTAACCTTGGACTTGAGTTTCGCATAGAAGCTTTTAAAGTCCAGAGGATCAAGTTCAAGTTGGCGGCAGAGGATGTTAAAGGCCTGGATGGTGCCTTTGCCTGTGGAGGCCTGGACAAAGTTCTCAAACAGCTGGCCAGCCTGGGTGTTCTTCTCATCATCGTTTTCACCCATGTTTTCCCCAGATCACTCGGCAACAAAGGTTCGCCCTCTCTCCAGCTGTTCAGCAGCTACATGGACTGCTGGACGTCTTCAAGCATTTTCTCCCTAAACTGGTTAAAAGAAAGCTCACTGAGTCTGATGTCATCACTGCGAGAATATTATCATGAAATTCTTAACAGATGGCTAATAAAGCTAAACATAAAAAAACTGGGATGAAATGATTATACTGATTGTTTTGTATAGAGAGTAGTTCAGATGACTTCTTCATATTAATCCCCATCAGAGACGGCAAGCCCATAATCACTTCAAGTCAATTGGTCTGTCAAGTTTTCATCATGAATAAGATTAAATACTACTCTGTAGTAGTCATTATCCTAAATCAAAAACTAATGCTGATGACTTCAACGTTGGAAAAATGTCTTGTACCTTGAAGAAATGATTAAAATCCTAATGCTCAGTACTTATTCTTTAATCAAAACGCTTAGAGATGCAATAGCTGAGAGGAGGTTACTGGATTTCAATGTTCTGTACATGACTGCGCATTTTCAAACTCATTGGCATGCTTTTTAGCAAGGCCTCAAAATAGACTCCTAGCTACATATGTTTCAAGAGTGAATCACATTCTTTAGATTTGAAGACATGCACTGCATAACAGGGAAATGATACTGTGGAGAGCACAGCCATGTGCATAAACAGCAGACAAAACCTTTCAGAAATGTAAAAAATACCACGTTCAAAGTTAAATTCAAGAGCAACATCTTTATTCTTATTCCCACACCTGAACCCTCTACCCCGATCATTCATTTGTTAAATGCAAACATTTTCAAAAACACTTTATTAAGTATTAAGTTAAAAGGCCACCATTAACACATAAAGCCACATTAATTTTTTT